AAATCATTCCTAAACATTATGAGGTCCTTCCAAACACCAATTAAGTCCTTCTTGAATCCATAATTCGATTCAAGTGAAGTTAGTTTCCGATTCAAGTGAAGTCAAGCTTAGAAATTAAGTAAGTCCAAGCAAGTCTTTAAAGCTTTTCAAGAGTCTTCATTGAACGTTTTAATTTCATTCTAAGGCTCAAGTTCCAAGTTAAGTAAAGAGTTTCAAACTGAGTAAAGAGCATATAGTTTCAAGTTTAGTAAAGAGTATCGAGTTTCGAGTTAAGTCAAGAGTCAAGAGTTGAGTTCATTTCTCAAAAGTAATTAGGGAACTAAGTATTTCCCAAGGAAGTTTATAAGTGTTTTCACATCTAAGTTGAGAGGAAACTGAGATTTCCAAAAGAGTTTTGAGAAGTTTGAGCACTATCTCTTTTTAAAAAGAAAAGATGAGTTTTTCAAAAGAGTTTCTAAAATATGATTAGATATGACAAATCGAGTATGTCATCAATGTTTAAACAGTATGGTCTCTAGATATACCATCAATGTTTAAGCAGTATGAATATCCCGAGTCATCAATGATCATATTAAAAATATGGTTTTGATTTGTTATTTTTAAAAAGAGTTTTTAAGTGCCTTCGGGCTAAGTTTTGAGTAATTATCTCAACTAAAGAAAGATGTGTTTAAAACACTTATGAGCTAAAGTATTTTTGGGAGTAGTCTTGAACACCGAATTGGGGGAGCGTTCAAAGAACTCACAGCCCCCATAGAACCATGTAGCCAAACATGGGATTTCTCGGGTCATACTTTTTAGATGATCACGAAAGTTAAGCTAGTGGATCCATTAAGCAAAAGTTAAAGTAAGGTCCTATATCGATGGCAAGGTATAGGATGGTCCTTGGGCAACGTGAGGTAAAACGTTGTATCACCACTCAGATTCATAGTGGTGGTTTATCGGTTAGAGAAGCTCCCACAGTAGAAAGAGCATGGTTCCTCGAGGGTTCTGCTTAGTATGGATGGGGGTATGGGACTTCATTCATGCATTGCACAAGTAGACTTTGAGAGGAAGCATGGTATTTTCATGATATTATAAATATGATTTTGTAACGACTCGGAAAATGATAGAGTGAAACTAGAGCCTCACATGTGAGTTTGGAG